ATAATAATGGTAGCATGATGCATAAATCATCACAATATATCTATTAATAAATAAAGCAAATCTCTGAGGCATGACAGTTTCAAATATATAATTCTTATGAATTTGCTCAACTAGTCAATGAACAGATAAAAGAAGGTAAGGATTGGCTTACTATTTTTGAGGCAGAGTCGATGCTCATTAACACCACTGTAAATGGGGTTAAAAGGCTCTAGAATTAAAAATGCATCAACTACTGGATGTTTTAAAAAGTACGAATTTAGGTAAGGAGTCACAATGATGTTGACAAATTAAATGATTAACAGTACATATTTTAGAAGTTATGATATGCGAATAGCAAAGCTCAATGACGATACTGACTAGGATGCCTGAGAAACGTCTGGAAATGTACCAAGCCCATGGTCCGACTCTGGAAATAATCATGCAAACTATGTACGCTGGAAAAGGAGTATTCCTCTAAGTCTTCTTGATAATATGACCAAGTTGCAAAAACAAGGTCAAACAACGAAAGGAGACCGCCACTATAGCAAAGGCCACATCATCTTGGTTTTCATAGTTTCGAGTACATAATTTAATTTCAATGCTAAATTGTACAAACAAACACGAGGTTTAGCTATGAGATTGTGTTTGTTCCCAACTTTTAAAAGTAACTATATGGCTGAAAGAGAAAGTCACCTTATACAAGAAACATTTTTAGTTGCTAAATTATTGGTTCTCTACATGGATGACTACTTTTCTGTTTGGCAACACAGCAAAGAAACCTTAGAAGATTTACTAAAAGATTAATGAATAGATCGTAAATATGAAGACCAAGATGGTGTGGTCTTCTGATTGGTCGCAGTCTCCATTAGCTTTATAATGTTGTTGGTTCGCCTTTGATTTCGCAACCTGGTTGGAGCGACAAGGATACCTTGTGGAAGGTACCTATTACCATGTCCTCTTCTAGAGTATTCATGATTTCCAGCATTGGACTATTGGCTGGGTACAGTTCTAAACGTTTCGCCTGCATTGTCAGTGAGAGGCGTGATCTTAAGCACAGAGTTACAACTTATCAAAGGGACAAGTGAAGGCAATCCCCTTGACCAGTTTTCTGTTCTACCATTGTGGCATCACTCCTCACATCTATTTTTTGTTCTACCTTTTAGTTCCACATCTCTTTCTCTCAATTCTACTTCATCTGGCCCATCCACTTATTCATACAGTTATGTGCTCTCGTTTCCTGTAATGTTGCCTAAGAGTGTGCCGCTGCAAGTGGGTTTAGGGAAGCGCAATCATCTCGATCACCAGTACCAGATACCATTTGCAGGGCTCCTGACCTATGTTCTGCCCCTACCTTTTTTTCTACCCGCCTGACATTTGACCGCTGCTAAACATAAAAATCACTGTTTTGCAGTCTAAAATCTGGCTGCCTAAGAACTTTTAATTTTCGTCCTCGATTATGCCATATTCTAGGCGTTAGAGTAGATTATGCACATGTCCATGCCCATGTACAAGTCAGTACCTAGAAATATTCCTCTCTCAAGATTTCAGACCCCTGAATCAATTATACCCCCCTCGTCCCCACTCACATTGTGTCTCATTCATTGTGCCCTGCATCCGGCTTAAGTCGTAACCGCTGGTGTGAGAATGCATTGCCTATCTTTTTTCTCTTGAATCGCGAGAAACACACTTATCTCGTCTCTCAAGTTAGCATTCTGATCTAATCCTAGGGTACTAGGACGATTTGTGTGATGGTTGGCATCCCCGGTGCTGAGGCCTGTCATCAGTCCCCCTTTCCTTCTGACGCAGATACAAAAATTACACTCGATAGTGATGCACACGCACTGGTGACCTCTATCTAGCCCACATGTACCTTTAGCCTTTAATTTCATATCCTACCTCTCGTAGGTGGATCCCTGGGTAAATTTGTTTGGTCAATCCTATGTCCGATTTCTTTCCCTGCAGTTGCCTTTTCTTGTTATGCATAACCGCAACCCTTTGTTTAGTAGAGGCGATAAATATATCTGAAGAGCTACTTAAACAATCAAAAATAGAGATGGAAATGGAAACATCCCAGTAATAATGGTGAATCAAGAATCCACACATAGGGACTATATAACCAAGATATATAGAATATTGAACAGAAATTATCGAATAGTCCTACAAGCAGACAAAGGGGTGTCACAGTGGTGATGGACAGGAAGAAATGAAAATATTCTCAGGGACACAACAATGTATCGACTACTAACAAAAGACCCAACATTTAAAGTCAGAGAGGCACTACAAGAAATGCTGAAGGAAATGAATAGGAACGGGGAACTCGACAAACTTACTCATACCTAAGGATACAAGAGCACAAGTAACATATGATTTGCCGAAGGTACATAAAGAAGGGGAACCATTAAGACTGATAATCAACAACAGACATGGACCAATACAAAATTGGCGAAATTTATCTGCTTCAAATTAAGGAAAGTGAATTACAGATTATCGAATAAAGTTGAGAATTCATAAGAGTTTTTCGAAAGAATCAAAGGCGCAAGGTTGTAAAGAAACGAACTTTTGATGAGCTTTGATGTATAGTCCATTTACAATAACATCACAGGAGAAAAAGCACTCACCGCACTACCGGAGATCTTATAAAAAGAAAATGAGATCCTGGAGACATAACGAATGCGAAGAGAGTCCATAATCCGATTAATCAACCTAACAATAAAAACGTCCTATTTCACATTCAACGGCAGCATCTATGAGCAAATATTTGGTCTGCCAATGGGCTCACCACTATCACCTCTGTTGGCTAATGTATTGATGGACCAGTTGGAGGATAATTTTAAAATGACACCCTAGCAGTAAACAGTAATTAGACAATATTTGGATGACTACTTCGCAATTTTGTCACAAGAAGGAGAAAAATTAGACGATTTTCTGATATTAATAAACGAAATGGATGAGAAAGAGAATGATCACTTACCGTTCTTGGATATGGAGGTCATTCGCTCGAAGAAAACTCTTAAAAAACAACTTTTCCGAAAGAAATTGCATGCTGGAATAACTCTTAATTTACAATCGAACCATACTTATGAGATGAAGATTGAAATACTTCGGAGTATGATTATAGGAAGCTTGCAACTGACAGATTCTGAATTCCGGGAAGAGGAACTGGAAATATAACTCAGTTGTTTCTTGGAAACGGATATGCAGAAGAAACAATACAACGCAACATACGGATGGCGATGAACATTTGGAAGGACAGAAACTATGAAAAGAAAGCAAAAGGAGCAGAATAAAAATTATGGATATGACTACCCCCCTGTGAATTTACTCGGAAGCTACGGCCAATACTAGGGAAATGGAACATTCGCACAAACTACAAGGACTGTGAGCAAAAATACATCGGAGAGACGGGTAGGACAATCAGACCAAGGATCAAAGAGCACCAACGTCTATGCAGAAAATGGATACAGAAAGATCGGATATAGCTGAAAAAATCGCCCTTACCAGCTACACAATTCACTGGAATGCAACGAAAAGACTGGCCTCATATGAGGAAAATACCAGGAGAAGGAAGATCAGGGAGGCGGTGGACATCCTCTTTCAAAGAAACCTGATGAACGGGAGACTGGAAGAGGGGAGAGTCATCGATAATTTCGCGTGCTGCCTAAGCAGACTTGGAGATTCAGCGAATACATTAGAAAGAAGACACTTGGACCCAGGACAACTGTTTAACAACAGGAATAGGTATAGCCAAAGAGCGGCTTATGCGGAACCAAGGGAAGTAAGTAAGAGGCGAGTGCAGTGCGGTGAGTCGGATACGGGATTGGCAAAAAAAATTTACCCAGGTATCCACCTACGAGATGTAGGATATGAAATCAAAGGCAGCCTCATATATACGAGGTTATCTGAGCATAAAGCAGCCTGCTAAAATTTGTGGATCCAAAAGTCACAGCTGGTCTGAATAGAAAGATTGAAGGTAGGAAATTAAGCGTTAACTACTTGTTGCTGTTGGACAGGGTTTGGAGCGAGTGTGAGAGAGAAGGAGAATACAAGATGTACCGCCGAGCAAGAGGAGGAGGCGTGATTAGCCACAAATTTGGAGTGGACTCACACACCTCCCGCATCTTACGAGCATTCTATGCACACAAAATGCCTACAATAAAAAACAATGACATGCAGTAACATTCCAAGATAAAAAATAAAGTGATTTTGGGGAGGATGCACCTGTTCGGTCGCATTCGCATCCGTATTACGCTTTATCTGCAGCCAATTCACATGCAATCCACAGCCACTTCATTTTTCAACAAGCATGTAGGAAAAGATAGGATGACTAACCAAGTCCTGAAACGTCTTATTTAATGGACGCTGTTAAGTTACAAGAAGTTGGCAGGATTGCAGCAAACCACTTTCTTGTCTTCATGCTCGGTGAATTACCGTAAAGGATGGTATCCTGCTATGACTATGTCCATCAAATGAAGTACAAAAGCTCAGTAAGGGAACTTACTTACGCACATTTACATTCATAGATCCAAAGCAACTCTCTTCGACTAGCGATGGTAACAAATTACGAATCCATACCATTCGCCTTTTCAAACAAAACGAACGCTACTTCAAGATTACCCCATTAAGGGGTCCTCCAAAAATCAATTTTTAAATATCTTAACCAGGCCAGTAAGTGACAGTGTTACAGATCTCTGCGATTTGAAAGGTAAGTTACAAGTGGAAATTCTAGAAATGGATTTTGGAAAAGATTATATGAAATTGAACCTCTGGGGCTTAAAAAATCGGAAACTCTTCAAGTACTAAAATGAAATTGACAAAGATATGAAGAACAAGATGGTATGACCATTTGTGTGGTCGCAGTCTACTTTCGTTGTATAGAAGTGGTTTGACCTTGTTTTCGTAACTTGGTCATATTGGTAGGAAGACTTAGAGAAACGCACCATAGTATGCACGATCATGTCTAAAGTCAGACAATGTACGTGGTACATTTCCAGACGTTTCTCCGTTATCATAGTCGGCATTGTAAGTGAGTTTTGCCATTCTTAGCACAAACTACAACTCGTCAAAGAGACAAGTAAAGCCGATTTTTTGACCAAACCTATGCTAAACAGTTGGGGTATGTCTCCTTCTCTCCTGAGCTATTCACATTTCCTATATCCTCCTATCACGCCTTTACAGTTACAATTTTTATCGTACTTATTTAAATGTAGTGTGGTGTGCCCTTTTGATCGGAATTCATGAGAACCCTCCACACTTCACGCTGGCATTCTCACCTCCCTTCACCCTTGTTCTGGGAATGTCGATCAGAGTCTGCCATATTGTTACGCCGTCTTCTTTCCCTAGTCATATCAAAGTATCCCTCTCGCCACGTAGAATTAGTCTGCTATCTCCTTGATTCAAGTATTTCACTTGACCCTTGCCACCCCATCTGTTATACTCGAGACTTTATTACCCCTCCCCTGTGTCTGAGTCACTAGTTCGAGGCAAAAGCACCTGCTTAATTTTCATGATCAAGCCTTTGCTTAATGGACCACGTCTATGGTAAAACAGGCCTACTATCAGCCAACTAGCTCTAGTCTCCGCCGTGTCTATCGTGTTTCTAGCCTTAATAGCAAGCCTGTGACTACCTAGTCTCTTGTGCACCAACCCACAAACGTTGTGGTTCAACCTCCCACCTAATCAAAGCAAGAAACCACAACATTTATGGGCTGGCACACAAGAGACTAGGGCATAGGAAGTCATAGACTTGGTGTTACGGCTAGAGACAGGATAGACGCGACGTTGGGCTAAAGTTAGTTGGCTGACAGTAGACCTGTTTTGCCATAGACGTGGTCCATGAAGCAAAGGCTTGACCATGAGAATCATGTAGGTGCTTTTGTCTCGAATTAGTCACCCAGAAGCAGGGAAGGGGTAATAACGCTTTGAGTAGCACAGATGGGGTGGCAGGAGTCGAATGAAATATTTGAACCAGACTGATTTTATGGGGAAAGAGGGAGACTCTGATACGACTAGGGAAGGAGCACTGTATAACAATATGGCAGACTCTGATCAAAATTTCCGGCACAAGGTTGAAGGGGGTGAGAACTCCAGCGTGGATTGTGGAGGGTGCTCATGAATGCCGATCAAAAGGGTACACCACACTACATCTTAATAAGCACGGTAAAAACTTTAACAGTAAAGGCGTGATAAGAAGATATAGGAAAGGTGAATAGCCCAGGGCAGAAGGTGAGATACCACAACTATTTAGCACACGTTTGGTCAAAGGATCGGCATCACTTGTCTCTTTGACGAGTTGTAGTGTGATGCTAAGAATGGCGAGACTCACTGATGATGCCAACTACGATGCCGGTGAAACGTCTGGGAATAGACCACGT